TTAATCATGTAAATGTATTTCTTCTTTTTAATCCAATCTCCAAGTTTCTTTATATGTTTTTGTACCTGTGATAATCAAGCCCTCTTCTTTCTCTTCTTTTTATCAAAAGGATCATGCTCAACAGAACGATAGTTATATAAATAAAATTTTTGTCACCAGACATTTATTCAAATGAAATTGTATTATTGAAAGAGATACTCGAAAATTAATGTTTTATATAATGTATTATAGTAATTTTATGTCTATTTATACTCTCATATTTATTTCTAATTTTTTGATGTAAAATTATTCTCTCCAAGAATCGACCAACGTACTGATTTACTAATACAAAATTTTAATATTGCTTTATACATTGATATAAGATTGAAAACGAAAATAAAAATAATGACCGAATTATGTTGTTTTTCCCCAATTTAAATATTTTATAACTTTGTCCCATAAAAAAGTATATTTTATTTTGGTATAATTTCATATAGATAAGATTAATAGAACACACATTAGTTTGTTTGTTATATATATATATTTATTATATATATAAATATAGAAAAATATTCTTAAATTTCATTTATAAATTTATAAGCCATTGTATATCATAGTCATGACAAAAGTCTTACGCAATCTCTTTCTTATCAGATCCAGACAGTTAGCTTATATTATTGAAATACTTCTGGTGTTCGGAAGTAAATGATCGATTCGTTTATGTGATTTTCTATTTATCATTTCATTAGCTGAAATTAGTAACATTTAATCGACCAATTTGTATGTCTCCTTATATTTCACTTGACATCTGATTTTGAATCCTAAACTGGCTGGTTATCTCTAGACCTATTTGACATAATACAATTTAATATTCCATGTTTTATTCTATCATTCTATAATATTTCATACAATATTAAAAACGAGAAAAAAATTTAGCAAATTTTTGGTAACTGCGAGACAAATAGTAAAAGAAAAATGTGTTAGACATTATCTTAACACATAAATATCGAAATAAGAGAACTCATTTAAGTGCAATAAGAAATTCTGTCAAAATCTAAGTCACAAAAATCATAATGGATTTAATATTTTCAAATATTTCTACTCATCTAATATTTTTATAGTCAAGAATGCAAGAGTATGGTGTGATTATTAGTATTTATCTGTAGTTGACTGAGTGTCAATCGTATGAACTGTATGCTCCGAAAATGGCAGATCTATCCAGTACTGTTGTATATTGTCTTTGCCAACAATACCATTTCCATTCCATATCAAAGTATTGTCCATGTACATTCTTAAAATCATCTGAAATTAGATGCAGTTAATACATATATACAACCAAAAAAACGAGAGAATATATTTGACAGTATTATCACTACATTTCTCTATTTGTTCAGATACTTGTAATATAGTTCCATAAATTCCTCTACAGTTCTGCAAGCCAGGTCGATTTGACTAGTTTGTAAACCTTGCGAAAGTGAATATAGATTTTAAGAGAAACATGGTGTAATCAAATATATATATCTATATAATCAAACATACAAAATGTGTGTAATATATTAGTGTAATCGTTTCGCGTATGCTCTTTCAAAAGTTTTCAACTTTATAAAAATATAATTGCTGGAAATTGGCCATTTGTTTATCACATATATTTTAATATGTTAAGATAAATCAATATGATTCTATATGTAAACTAATTAGTAAAATTTTTTGAAAATCGTAGTGTAGGCAGTTTTATTCAA